GATAATTTTTAATCGATATATATCGATTAACTGCTATATATCGATATATATCTGCTTAAAAATTTTGCTGATGATAGATCACTTGGGTTGAACAGATCTAATTACTAATTATACCTTCACTCTATATATTTGCAATAATCAATTACTATACTAAATAATCTTATTATTTAATTGTATTTTATTAAAAAAATTATAGTTTTATAATATTATTTTATTTTGATAACATTTCTAATATTTAATTAATTATTAATATATTTTTTTTTTTTACTTTAGCAATCCTATCTTTATTTTATTTATCAGAAGTAGATTACAAAAATGCTTTTAGCTAGCTAGACTTATATACAAATTGCTAAACTATTATATTCTTATACAAATTAAGATTCTCTTGATTTGTCTTATTATTGCAATAAAACTACGACCAAAGCTAAGAATTTTATGCTAGAGTATGACCTAGGAGCTACCTGCACTAAGTGACAATTTTCTTCTTCCAGAATTCTCAACTTACTGAGGATATGAGCTTCAGACATCAACAGATAAAAGTACTGACCTTGTCAGAATTATCACTCTATAATAGAATATTACCAATTTGATGATACTTTCTTATAGAGAAGTAAAAAAGAAAAAAAGAAATAAAGGTAAAACAAAAATAGGGAAAGTAAAAAAAATATATATATAAGAAAATAACCAAAATATAAAAGAATCTAAAAAACTATTTTAAAATCTAAAAGAACTTGTTTACAGATATAAAAACCTGCTAACCAGGTAAAAAACTATCTACATGATTATAAAAATCTATATATAGAGCTATCTGATAAAAAGAAACTAAAAACTAAAATGCACTTTAACATATATTAAGGGCTAAAAATTATATACATATAACTTCAGAATATTGCATATTTCTAAAATATTGCTCTAACTTGCAACTCTTGATTAAATTCATCTTAAATTCTAGAACGCCAATTTTAAAGTCTTGATACGTAATTGTCAGCTTTGTTTATAATAGACTACTCTTTTCAGATTACAAAATCTTCTTATAGTTCTTCTTCAAACCTTGCTTTTTCGCTATATAAGATTAAACAGGGTTTTCCTTATAGTTAACTGATATTATTAGAAGCTACTTCCTCAGATCCATCGCATAAGACCTTTATTCCTGTATAGTCAAAATTTGCTGAATACAGGACTTTCACATACTTTGATTTAACCCAAATAAAACTTCTTTCTCATATATGATTGTTGTATTCCTTATCCATCATATTGTAACTCAAGACTTTTTGAAAATAATAGTGATAAATATTGCTGATCTTTTGGAGAAGGTAGCCAAATCCCCTACTTTTTGATAAAAATTTAAAAAAAAAAGAGCGGCAGAAAAAATTGTAGTTTTGCAAGTTTTCTAACCAAAGAAAGTTATTTCAAGAGTTTTTTATAGCCTTCAGTTCCTAATATAACTTGAGTCTTCTTTTTACTTATTGTTTTTAGAGATTCTTCTGATTTGGATGCCAAATACAAAAAGAAATCCATCCAAGAGAAGAGAGAGGTTAACCTTTTTGCAAACTATCCAAAACACCTGCTTTTCAGTGTATCATGGTAAAGACTTCGTCGACAACAGCTTGTATTAAGAAAACCACAAGTTATTTGTTCACTTCTGGTCTTGAGTCTTCTACTTGCTTTTGGGTACTAGTTGGTACAAGTAATCATCAGAGAGAGTTGTATATGAATTATTAATTTTTTTACTTTTAGCAGATTTCAAATACTATTCAAATATTTTTTTATCTTTAGAAATATCAATTCTATTTAATTGTTCTTTGAAACTTTTACTCTTGACAAATATCAAGTACTATTCAAATATCTTTTTTTTATCTTTAGAACTATCTATTCTATTTTAGTAACAATCTTTAACATTTAATTATTTATTAGAATTTTTATTTCTAGCAGATTTTAAATATCATTCAAATATTTTTTTTTTTATTTTTAGAAATATCTATTAACAATTTTTAATGCTTAATTGCCTATCAAAATTTCTACTGCCAGCAGATTTTAAGTATCATTCAAATGTCTATTTTTATTTTTAGGAACACCTATCCCATTTTGGTAGCAATTTCTAATGCTTAACCTTCTATTGAAATTTCACTTTCTGCAAATTCCAAGTATCATTCAAATACTTTTTTTCATGCCTGTTCCATTTTGGTAGTAATTTTCAACATTTAACTGTCTATTGGAATTTTCATCTTTGGCAGATTTCAAGTACCATTCGTGTACCTTGTTTTCATCTTTAGGAACGCCTATGTCGTTTTTATAACAATTTCTAGTACTAAATTGTTCGGTTGAAACATCGTCATTATGCTTTTCATTAACATTGCAAACCGAAGTTAATCTGCATCTCTGTTTTTTATTTGGACTTAAGCCTCTATCAAATGCTATCAACTCATTGTAATGAATTTGACAAAGTTGGTCGTTTAAACTAATTTCTCTTAAATTTGAAATAGCGTGGCTTTGTATAGCCCTAGACAAGTGTTAATCTGCGAAACTTTATCTTTTGTGCCACATACTGCACATGAACCTGCATTTTTACGCGGATTAACTATTGACAATACGTATCACTAGTAAAAGTTCTGAAGTGAATAGAATCAGAAGGGGATCAGAGAAGCTAAAACCTTGTTGAACATAAGCGTGAAATATCAAATTATGTTATATTTTTTTAAAAAAAGGTGATACTTTTGCGAAACTTCAATATACTAGAATATAAGAATATACTGAGTAAATTAACCAATCAGCATGAATTTCGCAATAATCACATGAAATGGATTTGTAGTCAAACCCGCCCATATGCAAAATTAGCCAATAGAATGAAAGCATGCTTTGACCGAATATAAAGAGAGCTGTTTAGTAACCGATCTTAAATTGCATAATAAAAATGTCTCAGTATACAAATTCTTCTGGCGACATAGATCCCTTCGAAGCCCGGTTACATTTTAATTCCATACTTAAAAAAATAACTTCTAGCCAGCAAACTATCCAAACATGTACAACCTTTGCCCTTAGACATCACAAGTATTATGAAGATCTATACCGATGTATTATGGAAGTTATGGAAAATGCTACAATTATGACTAGAATGAATCTCTTTTATTTTTTGGACAGTCTTTGTGTAAAATCTAAAAAGGTTGAATTCAACAAATATATTGAATATATTCAGCGTGATTTGAAAAAGATCGTTGTTGATTACGTTTGTGAGAGGGAGGATGGGTGTTTCAATTTAGTTAATACTTTAAAAGTTCTAAGTAATTGGAAAGAAAAAAGCTATTTTGATGTCTCAGTTATTGAAAGTGCAGAACGCGTTCTATTAGACTGGAAGAAAGAGCCGAATTACCCTTCGAAATTAAAATTATCAAAGCATGATATTTTGAAAAGAATAGAAGAAGACCGAGAAAGGGCGAAGCATCTTCGAGAAGATATTTGGTGGGTGGACAAAAGCATCCCGGATGGTGAGGCTCTTAGCTTATGGGAAGAATGTTCAGATCTAGACAAGAATGATTATTTGGAAATCTTGACAGAAAATTTCAAATACCAACCAGATTATCCGTGGCTAGATGTATATAAAAAGGTAAAATTATGGAACGAAGAACAAAAGCAATTAGAAGAAGAGGAATTGAAGGCGCGTCTTGAGGAGGAAGAACGGGCACGACAAAAACTTGAGGAAGAACTTGGAGAATTAAAAGAGAAGCAACAAATAGCAGAGGAAGAAGAGTTAAAAGAGAAGCAACAAATAGCAGAGGAAGAAGAGTTAAA